ATCTTTCAATGTTGAATTTATGTATTGGTAAATTATAGCTTCACATACAAATATTTATCAGCGAGACTTAAGCATATATACATCAATTGTTTTCTAAAAATATAAGATATTAAAGAAACAAAGAATTGACTTTTATTGACAAATCATTATATTGTATGTGTCAATGTGTGTATATTTGTTTTCTTAAATCATTAATAGTATTGTATTACTTTTGAAGGTTATAAAAAATCACGATGGCTATCTCGACTGTTGCAAAATCCAGCATTACCCATACCAAACTAACGACGGTACCCTCGAAACTTGGATCCAATCACTAACACAAGTGAAACACACGCATCTTCTCGCACTTGTAAACATTCATGGTAACCGTGGACCCAATGTGCTCCAACTGTCCCCAAACATATTCTCCCATCCATCTCTCATATGCCTCTTCTTATTTGGATACTATTTAGAATCTGCACATGCCTTCAACAATTGTCATAATCTCACGACTCTTAAACTTGATAAAATTTACGTTGAGGTTGGTGTGTTCAACACAGTCATTGCATCTTGTCCCTCTCTCAAGGTGTTGGTAATAGACATCACGTGGTACAACCCAAAAGGTTGTTTAAAGATTCATCACAATAATCTAAAGCTATTGCATTTGGCTTGCACTTACATTGATTTCATTGATGTGTCCACACCTCTATTGGATATCTTGGCCATTCAATGTGTTCTTGTTATGAGAAGTAACTTCCTTCTTAGAGCCCCTAGAATACTCGGACTAAAGAAAGACCATTGGATTCTAGACGAAAGTATACCTCACATATACTACAATGTTTCATCTGATGCTCAGGTATGAACACACAATTGCATTGATGTGTATATATAAATGGTTTAATATATTGTTTGACATGTTTTATTTTCTTATTTGAATCAAAGGAGATCGAAAATAATTGGCATGAATTCATGGTGAACAAATATACTTACGATTTGATGAGGTTTAAAACTTTGGCCGTGAATGTGGATTTGAAGAATCCTCGAGAAGTTTCTATGCTAAAGGATGTTTGTGATGCGTGGAGTACAAATATGGAAAACCTCGAGATCTTTTTTAAGGTACATCTATTTTATGCTTTGATCGATTTTCTCTCTTTGATGACTTTTCTTTAGTATATATATATAAATCATGATGCATGTTTTTTTTTTGTGTGGGTCTAATCATGATGCATGTTTATATGCATGTTCTTATATATATATAGCGTAACAACGTTCTTAAAGAAGAAGGTGAATCTTCTATTGGCAAAGCACAAGAAAAGAAGTCAAAAGAAAGGAGTTTCTTTTTCCGTGCTGATTTTCGCGTGAGAGTTGTATGGATGTATAACTTGGGGGATTTCGATAAGGAAGAATTTGCGTTAGCTTCAGTTTTGGTGAGACAAGAAACAGTGACGTATAAGTTGATGATCGAGACGTCGTCGATTCCTGCAAACAAGAAGTTGAAGATAGAAGTGGCAATGGCCAAACTAATGGATCTTTCAAAAGGTAACAAGGAGCTTATTATCGAATGCTTTTGATGATCTTGGTTCAAATGTAGCCGTTGGTCACATGAACTAAAAGTAACCTTTTATTTGTTAAGTAGAAGATTGTATGGTTTAAACTTTCAAGTAGTGTGTGTTTTGGTGTTTTCTTATGTTTTAATATTTGGGATTTGGTTTGTATTGATTTGAATTTTATGATTTGTTCCATTGAGGCATTGTCGTGGTAGATACTTTTATCAAAATTGTCGACGTATTTTCTAAATAATATTTTTAGGTAAATGTTACACTATTTAAGAAAGCTTACTTTTATTATTGCGTCGAAAATCTGTTTGCATAAATTGTGTAGGGTTATAAAAATATAAGTATCAAGACGTTTTGAAAACATAATGGAATATATTTTACTCGCATAGTTATGTTTTTCATTAACAAACTGGTGGCAATTGTTTACCGTTTTAGTATATTTATAGTCAACTCGATTTTTTTTTATTTGAGGATTTTAGAACCTAAATATGAATGAATCGAAGTTTCACTCCTTATAAGGCATAAAACCGAAGTTTCTCTTTATATGAATCCAAAATTTTCATAATATTTTTTCGACATTTAAAAAAAAATCGGTAACTCAACCCACATATCAGAAAAACAAATTCAGAAAACTATTTAAGACATGAAAAAAGCTAGATTAACCTAATTTTCCAACCCCAAAAAATTACTATAAGCTTAAGCTTCCCGGTTTGGGGGATTAATTGATTGGATTTTGGTGATCCCTAGGTTGCAATCTTTCCGGTCGAGGTCCAAAATTTCTTGGTTAAACGAAAAATGCAAATATTTTACCACTTAATAACAAGAGGCAACAAATTGGCA